AAGCATGGGCAGGAGTCTGAGGGGCCACACATGAGGCTGGAGAGCAGAGCCCGTGAGGTGGCCGAATGTCCTGACAAGTGCCCAGGACACAGGCACAGCACAGTGGCAGGCTCCACAGCCCCGACCAGGAGAAAGCCATCATTCCCACTGCTGCGGGGGAGCAGGCCACTGCATGCTGTCTGTGAGGCCCCAGGGGCATGCCAGCTGTGGCCTGGGTGGCTCTAAATAGAAAGCCAGGGTGCTGGCCCTGCAGGGTAGGAGGCAGCACGGGCAGTTGCTCAAGCTCCACACCTCTGGAGCATCCTCGCTATGGCTTCCTTGCGACACCACGTTCCACGGCTCACACAGATGCCCCTGGCTGCACACGACAACCAGGCAATCCTTGTCACAAACAAGATTTCACATAAAATACTAACCTCTGTGAGCCTGGCCAAGTGATGACCCTGTTTCAAAAACTACCCAGGACTTTTCTGGAACTAAATAGGGACCAGCACGAAGTCCTGAGGAGAAAAGGAAGGCCGCAGCCCCAAGAAGGGTGTTCGCTCCCACAGGGTCCAGCACAGCCTGAGACCGCCGTGAAGGCCCTCAGCCCAGGGACTGCAAGGCAGGCCGGGCAAGCGTGTGAGGCTGCATGAGCATGGAGCAGGCCAGCACGCCCACACCTCCCACCCGCCGACTCGCCACTGCTTCCCCAGCACGTGGCCTGGGGCTCCTGCTGTGACCTTGGCCTGCCTAGAAGCAACCAGGGAAGCACTGGGTCCCAGGGGGGACCTCCACCAGCCTGAGCGTGCCCCTCTGCCAGGCCTTCTCCCAGAGCTCTGCGTGCAGGGCAGGGCCTGCACTTCCTGCACACACCTCGGGTCCCTCAGCTCACCTCAGCCCCAGCCAGAAGAACCTGCAAGGTGTGAAGCAAAAGGAAAGAGCTCTCTTCAACCAAAGCCCAGGGCTTCCCGGCCTCTCTAAGAAAGCCAGCGGAAGTCTTCCCGATCCCAGGTCGGTGCAGCCCGCTTTCTGCTGGCCTAACCCCTGGGAGTCCTGCAAGACAGAAAGGACGGCCGTGGGTTCAGCACCAGGGACTGAGCACACGGCGCTGGCGGCGAGGCACGGAAGCCATCCCAGCACTCAGGCCCATCTGGTGATCCGGCTCTCGAGAGCTCTCCCCGCATGCTCCGTACTGCCTGCTCACTGTGGCCTTGGATGTCACCCCTCCAGCCAGGCCTCTTTCCTCCGCCCCTGTCTTCCAGAGGAGCCCACAGGGTGTTCCTGACAGCCATGGGGAGCCAGGCAAACTCCCTCTTCCAGAAGTACCAGGCTTCTCAGCAGAGTCAAGCCCCAAACTCCCTCCACAGTGTCTAACTAGAGCATAACGAAAAGCGACGCAGACAGACAGAGGCAAAGATGGCCAAGGATGGGTCAAGACCACACACCAAGGGATGTGGTGATGGAGGTAGTGGCCCAGATGAGGGCCATGTGGGGACAAAGCCAGGCGCCCGGACGGACTGGTCCATAGCCCACTGACCAAGGGCAAGGATCTGCTTCCCTGGGCCCTCGTGCCCGGTGCAGAGACAGGTTGGTGAGAGGGAAGGCAAGGCCCACGGGGAGAGGAGGCAAAGGGGCCTGAGGGTGAGACTGACAGGGCCCTGTTGTCACCACCAGTCCAGACAAGGAAGGAGCCTGCAGGGGGACGGGGCAGACCTCAGCACTGCTGGGGGTGGTTGCCGGCCCGTCTCCCTCTTCTGTGCACCAGACCCTACCTGGCTGCCAGTCTCACCCTGCCCCAGGGTCTAATGGGCATCACACACTGACTGTGAGGGCTGCCCACCCAACCTGGGACAGCCACCACGGCCTCCTCTGGTGTTTGCACCAAGGGACAGCGTGCTTCCCAGCCTCACAGCCCACGCTGGCCTCTCACGCCTGCTGCCTAATCGTCCACCCTCTCCATCGGCATCTCCATGCCACAGTCCAAGGCTCCACGTTTCCTGCTGCGACAAGAAGCAGCTTCTGGGGGCCAGCAGGGTCTGGGGTTGTGGTCCCCACTCCCAGGTCATCCAGGAGCACACTTTCATCTGGAAAGTTTCCAACTACAGGAGTCACACAAAAGCCCCTTTTCCGGTTGGCTGTGTACTTCCAGAACTTTCTCAGCAAAGTATAGGCGTGTGCTGTGGGGTTATCTCCCCAATGATAGGCTACGCAGGTCCGTCCTCACCAGAGGGCAGTGTGCCTGCCTGTTTGCCGCTGCCCAGCTTTTGCAGGGGATGTGGCCTTCGCTCCGCCTCTCGGCTCTGGTCCCATCAAGTTTCTACCCCATGTACACACTTTGCAAATGGGCTGAGGACCTTCCTAGAACAGAGGTCCAGAAGGCAGGATGGCTTGGTCAGAGGGTGACGCTCTTAGATGAGCAGACTTGGCACAACTCCCTCCAAATGTCCTGTGCAGGTCCTGCCTGCCAGGCAAGGGGGCGTCCCCAATGGCACCAGAACCTGCCGCTGTCCACCCTCCAGTGGCAGAAAACACTCTCACCAAGGTTTCATTGGCATCCCCAGTGGCTGTGTGTCCTGTGGCCACCTGCACCCCCATGTCCACGAATCACTGACCTGGGTACTGAATCAGGCCTTGGCCTCGCTGGTCTATGGCGCAGGTGCCATGGTGTGGCGGCAGGCCCTGAGTGCTCCCCAAGCCACAAAGCTTTCCTCCCAGCCCTCCCCTCCTTGCAGCCTTGCCGTGGTACTCCCTATCCAAAGTGGTCTGTCATTTCACTGCAGATTTTCTTATCTTGAGTGCAGTGTTTGCCCTCCCTGTCCCAAAGGAAGAGCCCCTTCTCTTGACTTCCTTGCACAGTTATGGCTTAGCTTACTTCTTGGATCTGCTCAAGGTCTGCCTGTTGAGTGGTCGGAGGTATGGACCCCTTGTGCTTCCCAGCCACCCGGGCGTCCAGTCTGCCCCACCTCAGGCATACTTCAGACATCCAGTCACATGGCCCCTTGGGGCTGTGCACATGTCACCAGGCCTCTGACGCATGGGTTTAATTACCTTAGCTTCAGCGCATACTCTAGTGTCTGGAGGGCAAGTCTCCCTCTTGGCTATTCACAGCATCTTCTAAAACTCTGAGTGAGTGTGCCATGCCCCCCCCCCCCACTCACCAACAAGTGCTATGCACGTGCCCTGGTCCATGAAGCAACATAGGGAAGGAAGGCTGCAGCCAGGAACTGGAAGCCATCCCGTGTCTGTCCCCAGCAGTGTCCATGCGCCCAAGCAGCGTGTGGCGGAGCGGGAGGCCCCACCCAGGAGACAGCACACCGCCGGCGCTTGTACTCGCCCATGAGGACAGAAGTCAGGGCAGGGCCACTTGGACTGGGGGACATGGGACACAAGGGAGACAGGAGGGTGCTGGCAATGGTTTCCACACAGTGATATGGATGGAGCTGCGTGACTAGACTCACCGCACGACCCATGGAGCTGGACACTCAACACACGCACACTCTCACGGTAGCACGTCTTACATCGGGGAAAAAAATGGACTGTCCACTCGCAAACGCTGCATGACAAGCAAGTGGACAGCCCCTGTCCTCCTTCCCCCACTGGCTTCGAGATGTTCCTCTGGGTGGAGGGAGGTGAGGAAGGAAAGGCCGGAAGAAGAGGCTGTGCACAAGAGGCTGGGCAAGAACGGACTCAGGCCTGGCTCAGAATGCCTCAGAGGAGGACTCAGCGCCGCCGGGCTGTCGTGGGTTCTGCACAGTGATGCCACCCACCCGGGCAGAGAGCAAAGCCACAACCGACAACCGGGGGCCACGAGGTGAGGAATGCTTTCCCTTGTCAACTGAAAAGCAAAGAGGGCATCTGGTCGGAGGGCAGACATGCCAGGTCGGAAGGCAGCGATGAACGACAGGGACGCACGCGAGTGAATGGGGAGGTATTTTTACCATGACACACAGATGCAGGGCTGAGACACTCGAGGAGACGAGGCTCCCAGTTTGCACCCAAGCAGCCTCCTACACGGAGACCGTGCCCCTCTAGGCTCTGGGCGGAGGGCAACTGGGCCCTAGCACCTGTAGCCCCATTTCATTATGCTAAGCACTTTACACATGTGGGAGTACATTTTTAAGGCCAGCCAGCCTGTCCATCTAGTCTTGAGAGGCCACGCAAAGGCCAGGGTCCCTCGGGCTTCATGAGGAGGGGCTGAGAAGCCAGGCACTTCATCCCCACCCCATGCGGCCGCACTGTCGCTGTGGCAGCCCCCAGGGGTGGAGCTGGAAAGCATGAGCTGCTCTTTTCGCCCGACGTGTGACATCCTCCCAGCAGCTGCCAGCAGAGGAGGTAAACACACATGGGAACACAGTGTCGCTGTTCCCAGGGCCTTGGCTGAGAAAGCCCTGACGTCTGTAAATATTCTGAGCAGCCAGCCCACAGCAACACTCCCCCTTCCTGCCTACTCGGCAACTGAGGATTCTACAATCTATACTTCGTCGTTTGGGCTGGTAAGTGGCATTTCACCATGACAAATTTTCTACTGCGATACTCTCTCCTAAGATGTTTCAGCTGTTCTGGAGCAATAATTCAGCCTCACACCAAGTATCATTGTCCCTTCACAGTTTGAACGTGCAGCACAAACGAGGGACACAGTGAGTATTACGGAAAGCTCCTCAGCTCCTTCTGGCAAGAACATGGGAGTTCCCTCCAAGCCAGGGCCCAGCCCAGCTTCACAGCGGCCCCCACGGCCCACGTGACTAATAAAGAAGGAAAGGGAGGGGCCAGCCCAGTTAAGTTCGCACGTTCCGAGTCTTGGCGGCCCGGGCTTGCCAGTTCAGATCCCAGGTGTGGACATGGCACTGCTTGGCAAAAGCCACACTGTGGTAGGCGTCCCACGTATAAAGCAGAGGAAGATGGGCATGGATGTTAGCTCAGGGCCAGTCTTCCTCAGCAAAAAGAGGAGGATTGGCAGTGGTTAGCTCAGGGCTAATCTTTGTCAAAAAAAAAAAAAAGGAAAGGGCATTCTCACTAACCTCTCAAAAGAGGATGAAAGCAAGCTCTTTAAGCCAGCATGGTCCCGAAGACCCCAATGGATGCACCCTGGGTGTCAGCAGCCGCCAGGAGACAGGGGCTGGACCTCTTACTCTTAAGAGCGCATATATTGCTTTTGCAATCTAAAAAGAAAATCGAAAGAAAAAGAAAAAAGCTGCATTGATAACCCAAAAAGGGCAGCTCACTGGTTCTGAGATGACCTTGTTTTCACGAAGCCCATCACCAAACCCCATGGTCTGGACCAACAAATGCCAGACTCTGTGGTGCTGCCCTCAATGCACCGACTCACATCTCAGCAGAAGATGAACCCAGTTCTTGCACATCTGGAGCATCAATGACAAGTGCGGACCCACTTCTAGAAGCCCCCTCAGCCTCCCTGCCCTGGGCCGTTCTCTCCACGGATGTGCTTGGAAACAGTGTCCACAGTGCCTCCAGAGAGCTGGCCCTCTAGTGTGGAAGCCAGGCAGGAGGATGAGTCACCTGTGGTGAACTGTGATCAAAACGACAGCTCACAAATGACACAGAGGAAGCATGAAGCAGTAACAAGAGCTGAGGGGCTGGGTGGCCAGGGCACAGCTGACGGCCTGCTGCCTTCATCTGGGGAAAGCTGTTGTCAATCACGCTGGAGCAGGCCTGGTCCGAGGGGCCTGCAGTCTGCGGACATGACAGTAACACGAAGCAGCAAGACTGGAGTGAATGGTCAGGGGCCGGAGGGTTGGGAGCACCAGGGCAGCCCACCCCACCCCACCCACAGGAGCACTGAGATCCAGAAGCTCTGCCATGTCCACCAGCCAACACAACACAGCCACCCTCTCCAGCTGCCCTCACCCCACCTGACAGGTCACCTGATGAGGAAGGCTCCAGGACACAGGCCCAGGAAGAGAGAGACACCGGGAGCCAGCCTGGCTCTGAGTGACCTTGGGAACACCATTTGTCCCTCAGCTTGAGTTTTCTTCAGTGTTTGGCCAATGAACACTTGCCCCAAAAGGTTGCCCAGAAGATCAACAAGCGAGTGTGAGAAAGCACTTCTGAAGTGCTACCAGCTGGAAGCACCCCTTAGAGCTGCCACCAGGTCACACTGGGCTCACAGAAGAGGCCTGCAAGCCCAAACAGCAGCAGCAAAACAGCAGTCAGCGGGCATAGCAGGATGACAGGCCAGCCCTGTGCTGAGCATGCGACATCCCCTTTGGAGGAAGGGGGCCTAAGGCTCAGGAACTGGTTCAAGAGCAGGAGGTTCACTCTAGCTGTGGCCCAGAGGGAAGCCAGGAAGCACGAGAGGTGCTAAGGTTGTGGAAGAGGTCTCCAAGCCAGCAGCGGGGCCAGGCCTTGCCCTGGGCGCAGCCCTGCCCTTCCTCCACCCCTGACGCCCTCAGGGGAGGAGTCTGACTCCCCGAGCCACCCCAGGAAAGCCGTGTCCAGGCGCCGGGACATCAGCGATGATCCCGCTGCCCCAGCAGCAAGGCGCGGCGGGCAGCAGCGTGACTCAGGGCTCAGAGCGGACGACGCCGTAGCCCACCACCCCGCAGCGACCGCGCAGTTCCCTCCGGTCTGCTTCCTCGCAGCGAGCCGGGCTCCGCCTGCCAGAAGCCCCGCACCCCAGGCCGGCGGGGACCGCCTTCCAGAGACGCGCAGGGCTCTCCTGCCGCCGGGCTCGGCGGGTCTCCCAGGACTCGGGCGCTGGATTTCCGTTCCACGCCTCGGGAAGGGGAAACTGAGGCAGGGCGGGACGTGCGGCCCCGTCGCGCCCGGGCCCCTGGAGACCCGCGTCCCCAAGTTCCGGCGGCCCGCGAGGGTGCCTCCGCCGGCCCGGGGCCGCCCCAGCAGCTCACTCACCGCCTCCTGCGTCGCCGACTTCCGGGTGCCGCGCTCGCGCGCCGCCGCCGCCGCCCAGGCCCCGCCCCTGCCGCCGTCTGCGCGCTCGCCATTGGGCCGCGCGGCGAGGGGCGGGGCGGCGCGCCTCACCCCGGGGCACCGTTGGTCGCGCGCGCAGTCGCTCGGGGGCTGCAGCCTGCCCGGCGCCCCGCCCCCGGGGCTGCGCCAAGCCTCCACGCCCCGCTGGTGTTTGGGCCCATCGTGACCCCCCGCAGCCTTCCCGGCCTTCTTGGCGTGCCGACCCAGGGGACCCCGCGGGAAGTCGCAGCGTTTGCAGCCCCCCAAGCCCATGCCCTCACGGAAACGTCTGGCCCGCGGCCTGAGCTCCAGGCGCCCATCGGTCACCTGCCCACCGGGCCCTCGCAGGAAGCGCTACAGGGATGGTCACTTCCAGACCCACCCCTCAGGCTGGGTTCTGGTCTCCCCCTCCCCATCCACCCAGTCCTGGCCTCTGCACCTGGCCATCCTTCCCACTGCAACCCTGACCCCCTGACATCCCTGCCTCGCTCTGGGCAGACCGCAGACCAGGCCCTCCAGCCCCAGCTGGCCAGCATAGCCTTTGAGCCCACCTCGAGGCTTTCTGCAGATCTGGGCCAAGGATGAAGGGCTGACCCAGCCTGATCTGTACTGAGTGAGCACGTGAGCATGAGCTGGGAAGGGGCACTGAGTAGGGCCCTCCCAACAGGACAGAGGCATTTGCTGGGCTCCCTGCCCACACTGGCTTCGGGGCTGTGTCTGGGGCCTGAGTGCAGGGAAAGTGGAGAGTCACAGACCCAGCGCTTGCTCAAAAGTGGGCACTCAGCAAACTATGACAAGCATGACAGTTATATCGAGGATAATAACAATGTGCTAAGTGCTCTAAACCCACTGTTCTGATACACAGTTCTCATTCATCCCATTTTAAGGATGTAAACACCAAAGCTCAGAGCAGTTATGTTGCTTGTTTGAAGTCAAAAAAGGTGGCAAGTGGCGGTGGCTGGATTGTTGAAGACCTAAGCACCCTGATCCTGACTTGGAGCACTGACGCCCTGTGGGAAACGAGCTCAGAGAGGAGAAGGGCCTAGCTGGTAATCAACAAAGATAAGAGTCGAACCCAAGCCTGCATGACACCCCCGAAGGCCCATTCCACCCTACTCTTTCGCCATCTCATCTGTGTTCCTCCTGGAACCCAACAGAAGCCCTTTGCAGGCACAGGAACCAAAAGAGTCTGGATGCCCAAGGACCCATGGCCAGGAGGCAGTAGACCCAGCGAGACACACAAATCCTCCCTCCTGCCATCCAGCAGCAGAATTGTGCTGGGCTGGTGCCAGTGATTTCCCTCTGGGCACCTGGACCATGCAGTCCAGCCAAGAGGTGGTGGTTCAGATAAATAGAACCTGGGGCTTGGAGGCGAGTGACCATGCCCTGGGGTATGGGGCAGCAGCTGCAGAGTGGTCTACCCCCAACCACTGGGCCACATACCTCAGAGGAGTGGGGTACAGATTGGTGGGGCCCTCGTGAGCAGTGCTTCCCCCTTGCTTGCAAAGGGGGATGCAGTGTCACACGAGCTGGATGGAAGTTCACATCCCACTCTGCCACAGAGAACAGCATATGGCCCTGGGCCAGTCCCAACCCTAGCCACGCTCTCCCCATATCAGTGGAGCCAGATCAGACACTCTGATGTTCTCTGTCACCACTGACTCCAGTCTGGATGACATTTAGTGGTAGGGAGCAGGCAAGACCAATGAGATGGGTTGGAGTGGGCACCTGAGCCCTGCGGTCTTAGGGCTGCAAGGGGCTCACTGCCATCCCACCTCTGATTACACATGTCTGCCACCTTATATGGCCACCCTCTGAACATCTACAACTAGTGGGAAGTTCTTCCTGACTTCCAGCTGAAATCTTTTTTTCTCTGTAGCTTTCCTCACGTGCCCCAGGGATGTCACTACAGAGCTGTCCAGTAGTTGGGTAGAGAAAGTGGGAGAGAGAGAGGAGACTGGGCTACTGGTCCCTGTGGCAGTGATCAAGTGGTGGAGGGAGGCCATCTCCCCTGTTCTCTGACTGTTTCTGACCCCCACCTGCAGGCTAGGTCATGGTAGGCCCACTGCCAGACAGGGGCCCTGAGTCTTCCTGGAACTGGTGCTGTCCCCCTACTCCTCTGTATGTGGCTGGTGATCCAGCTTGGGGGCAGATAGGTCTCTGGAACCCTGTTGGGAGTGGTGGGTGGGAATGAGAGGGAGGGGGGCAGCCCTCAATTGGGCTGATTTGGGTGCACAGTTCTCCCCTTTGCTCTCAGCAGAGGTCTGTCCAGCCCTCTTGCCTCCATCAGCAAGTGTGTGGGGAAGGGGTGGTGCTGCACCACAAGGTCACTGAGAGAGGAGGGGCTCCAGGAGGACCAGGGCCCAATGTCCTTGGAGAGATGTGTAGGGACCATTGGGCTAATTAATTCCACTGCTAAGGGTAGGAAAGGGAACCCCCCAGGTCACAAGGCAGCTGGGTCAGAATGTCACCGATGGTGAGGCTACCTGGGACGAGTGCTATCTTGCTCATGGGGGCCCCTGTGTTCCAGAGAGAGATACTTCATTCTGCCTCCCCAGAGCTTTGAGCAACATCCTTGTGCCAGGGTGCCAAATGGTTGTCACCTCAAGTGCCAGCTCCAGTTGATTGTTGGTAGCTGCTTGGCTCTGCAGGGCTGTTAGGGTTGATGTGCCATGTATGCCAGGGCACAAGGAGACCCAGTGGCAGTAGCAGTGGTGAGTTCTGGCCCCAAGTCATTTCCCTTTCTTTGTTCTGATCCAGAAACTATTGGGTGAACACACTGGTTCCCTGATGTGGATGGATAAGACAGGACTGTCTGGTCCCCCATCAGCACCGTCATGGTTGGTGTGGCTCCCTGGCGGCCTTGGGGAACACGGTAAACTGAGGATCTGGTCAAATCTAGGTAAAACCAGAGCAGGAAAGGCTTAGAACAAAGTGTGAGCCAGGGCCATCTCAGGAACCTCCTAAAACAAGCCCCAGTGGGCAGCATTCCCACTGGTGCCCTCCACACCATGAAGTTAAGTGGACCTAGCCTAGGGTAACAGTCCCATTTGTCGTCACATTTGTGCCCTGTGTCGCTGCAGGGGCCAGGCATCTGCTCCCCACCTGGCAGGGAAATACAACCTTTGGTAAACTCAGCTCTGGTGGCTGAACCCCACAGTGTTCCTCCACGACGCAGGTAGGGTGGAGGAAATGGGACACCCAGAAGTGGGGGTGATAAATGCACAGACTCCGCCTCCCCAGGCCCAGATCTGTGGCGATGTGATGGCGGAGGTGACAGAGGACAGTCCCGTGGGGCCCTACAGGGTGGGCTGAGTTCAGGGTGTCTGTAGATTCAGGCCTATTGAGGGAGGAAAACCCCTGATTCACTGAGGTGTCCTTTTCTGCCCTCAGAAACACTGCAGGCCGCCACCCTCTCCGGCCTCGCTGAGCCAAGGCCGCACCCCCTCCTCCGCTATGGCAACCGTGGCGCGATGAGGGTGGAAGAACCCCTAGACCCCAGGGTCAGACAGACTGGGTGGAGCCCCGGTGGCCGAAAGGAAGTGAGAACCTCTCTGAGCCTCAGCTACCCATCTGTAAATGGGATGGCAGTAGAACTCTGCCTCGCGGGTTGTGCGAGGAATACAATTTGATGTCGACGGGAGGGCGCTTCGCGCAACTCCGGGCGAACAGTAGGCGCTGGAGAAAGATACCTGCGAACTGGGGGTAGTAATGGAGGCAACGGAGCCAGGGTCCGGGAAAGGGGCGCCGAGGCTGCCAGCCCCGGGTCGGGGCCGCACGGCCCGCGGACGTCCCTGAAGGCGACCAGGCAGGGGCAGCTTCACGGCCCCAGCCGCCGCCGCAGCGGTCCCGGCAGGTGCCCGGGCCTCGGCCACTTCACGAAGGGGCCGGTCGTCATCCGGGACGGACACCCCGGGGGCCCTATGGCAAGCCGGCGTCTCCCTGCGTCCGTCCAATCGGCGCCGGTTGCCGGGCCGCGCCGGGTCTCCCGGCCAATGGGAAAATTCGCGGTCGGATAGGGCGGGGCGGAGGGTCGCGTCGCCGGCCAGGCCCGCTTTGCGCACGGGCCGCGGGACGGGCGGGGAGGGCTGGCCCCGGGGCTGTGCGCTGTGCCCGGGAGGGGTCTGACCCCGCGCCAGCCCGAGTTGAGGCCCCGCTGACCGCCACCCGCGCCGCGCCCTGCTCCCGCCGCGCGCCGAGGGACCCGGGGACGCCCGTCTGGGGGCGGGGGCCGCGCTGCGGGGCCGCCCACGCCGCGCTCCAGGTAGGCTCGGGCCGGGGGGCGGGGTCCGGGGAGGGCGCCGGGGGGTTGGAGCCTGGGGTCCGGGCTGAGATTGGGGCGAGGCCAGAGATCTGGACCGGGTTTTGGGCTGCAGTCCGGGCGGGAGCCGGGGTCCATGTGGGGTTCTGGGCCAGGAGTCGAGGTCCGGGGGGGGCGTCGGGACCGGGGGCCAAAGGCCGGCTCTGCCCCACCTGCACCTCGCTGGCGCCCCGGGCGCGAGACCCTGGACCGGCGGGGGCGGGTCCCTTTGTGCGTGGTCTCGGGGCCCTGGTCCAGCCGGGGCGCCCCGCATCGCGCGCCCCAGCCGAGACACGGCCCGGCCTCGCAGCCGTGTCCGCCCCGCGCGACGCCAGGCGACTCAAGCCAGGGCCGCGCAGCCACGGAAACTTTCCCACGGCCGGAGGGGTGGCGGGGCCGGGGAACTTTACTGGGGCGGTGCGCTGCCGGGAAGCGCGGGGACACGGCCGGGCCGGCCAAAGGGATGTCCCTGCACCGCGCTGCTCTCGCCCCGTAGAAGACCAGGGAGGGGACGCCGCCCGGGGTCCCTGCCCAGTGTCCCGACCTGGGTCCCCCACCTCCTGCCACCCCTTCGATCCCTGGGTGAAACACCGGCCCCAGGTGGAGGCGCCTCCTTCCCACTCGGAGTAGTATGCAATCCAGGTTTGATGAGGCGTCTCCCTGGGCCAGCAGCCTGCAGTTTCCAGCCTTCCCATTTTAATCTTTACAGAATTAAATGTTGGGTTCTTACAGCGTGTCATCATCGTTAACCTGTAGTAACGTATCACAGTGAAGAGGGAGCTCCAAGACTCTGGTTCCCCCCTCCCTTTAGACCCAGGCGGGTTTAGAAACAAGGAAAAGGAAAGAACCGCCCCAATGGAGTTTCAGGTGGTTACTCCTCACTCATACCTCTTCCCCGTGTCACCCACGTCCCTGTGCAGGACACACACTAGGTCAGGGTTAGTAAACCCAAGGGACTGGGGGATGAGTGGCTAAACCTGTGGGGGCAACCTCCCCCTGCGAGGACACATACCGGGGGTGCACTGGGAGCCTCCACCCTTTGTGACTCCTTCTGCCTCTGCTCCCAGATCCAGGCCGTCGCCAGAGGCCTGCCCCTTCCCAGCAGGTCTTGCCTGTCCTGTGCTCAGTGTATCTCTGGACGCGGGACAGTGCTGGACACAGGGGACTGTCAGAGCCCTCTGCCCAGCACGCTGGGCCCATGGCCATTGAGTTCCTGAGCACGTGGTCCAGGCCTCAGGTCCAGCCATGGTGTGTGGGGCTGTGAATCCAGAGTGTGTGCTTTCCCTCAGCCTCGCCCTGTTGCATGCACAGTACCATGTCTGTCCCCGGCTGCCCCACGCCCTCATATCTGTGGTCCACAGCACTCAGCACAGGACTGGGCACAGAGCTCAGTCCACTGTGCTCAGGGACTCTAGTCCTGGCTTGGGGAGGAGGGTCGTGGGAGCACAGCCAAGCCAGTCCCGGCCCTGCTCTTCCTCATGGGCTTTTCTACACAGACATGAGTCTCTGCTGACCAAGTTCTTCCTGGGCCCACTGGACCCAGCCCTCAGTCCTGCTAAGTTAGAGCTGCTCCCCGCCTGCCACATCTGGGCTGCGTGGCACCCCTTCCAGAGGTAGCCTCTCAGGTCTCTTCCCAGTCCCAGGGGCCCCTCGGCCTCTCCAAGGCTCCGTGAGGTCAGGGCTGCACCTCCGTCCCTGTTTGCGCTGCATGAGGGTTCAGGGTGGGTTCACTGCGTTCTCTTCACCCCAAGAAAAAAGCCTGGGGGACATGAGCAGTGAGACCCTGCACCTCCTTGGGGAGCCAGGAACTGTAGCACAGCTAGGGGGCACAGACAGGCACCCCAGAGCCTCAGCCAGCCCCTAGCATCTGCCCTGTGAGGGTGGAGGTCCTGGGGGCAAGCGGTGTGAGAGGCCAAGGTGACCACAGGGGGTACTGGGAACTTGCCCAGTGGTGGCTCAAGTGGTGCTGCTCCCATCAAGGCTGGAATGAGTCACTGGGCCACTCTGCAGGAGTCCCAGCATTAGGGACTGACTAGAGCGGGGCAGTCAGGAATCCCTTCACGGGCTTCCCCACGGGGAGGGCTCATGTCTTGGCCTGCTGCACAGGTCGAGGAGATGAGCCCAGAGCTGGTGGCACCCCTGTCCCCTACACAGCTGCCCTGTCTCGCCCCTCCTGTGTCAGGCCAGGCCCTTCCCACTGCCCCAGTGGGCCTTGAGGGGTCCTCAGCTTCTAGCAAAGCAGCAACAGGCCAAGTCTGGCCACTGGAGGGCCCCCGGATAGCCATGGCAGGCAGGCAGGCTCCACCCAGCCCCCCTGCGGCGGGGACCTGTCCCTGAGGCAGCCGGCAGGGAGGCTAGAGCCCTGCCTTCTCCAGCCTGCCCCCTCAGGGTGTGGAGCTGGAGAGGCGTGCATGCAATTAGAGGCCCCTTGGTCGCTCCAGTGCCCCTGACCACCCTTGGTGCAGGCAGAGGGGGACCAAGGGCTGATGGGGAGTCGTTGAGCACAGACTTGGGCAAGGACAGTGGAGGACAGGCCCTGCACGGCCCTGAAGTGAGGCCTCCTTCAGGCATTTGCCCCACGGGCCTCCCTGGCTTCCATGGGCCGCCCTACCTTTGCCCAGGGTTTCAGAAGAGGACTCTGAGCCAGCCCTTCAGGGCGGGCCTGTGCCTCCCAGTGCCTCAGCATCCTCATCTGTGAAATGAGGGGTACGGCGGAGGTGCGTGCCTTTTCACGGCGCACACAGAGTGACCAGGGGCCTGGAAGGGCACGTGAGGATGTGCTGAGGCAGAGCAGGATGCACGACTCGAGTATCGCGCCAGATCCCAGGCAGGCCTATCTGACCCTCATCCGGGCTCCTCACCACCTGCCACTGCCCTGAGCTGCCCACCCAGCCCGCCCAGCCCAGGCCCCATCCCTCCTCTGGATTCTGTTTGTGTCCATGGGAGCTGCCTCATGTGTCAAACATGACAGGTCCATAGCTTACCAGTCTGGCTGCGTGACTTGCCTTGCAGCCTGGACCAGCCTCCTGCCCCAGTTGGAGACCCAGCAGGCCTTTCCAAGGCTGGGGACAAACTGGACAGATTTTCGGAGAGCGCCAGCGTGGGGGGGCCCACATCAACGGTAGGCCCAGGCTGTGAAGCCCAGTGGGGCTGTCTGCTTCCTCAGGCTGTCGTTGTTTGGGGCTGGAGCCCGATAAGGGGCGTGGGGCTCCCTTGGCCCCCAGGCTCCTGGTTCAGGGTCCCTGCCCTGGCAAGTGACCCCAGAGCCTGCAGACCAGCACTGAGGAGATGTTGGGAAGGGCTCCTCAAGACAGGTGCCCCTGCCTTCTCGTCACAAATCCCGTCACTAGTTCTGCCTTCGTGTCTCACACTCATCCATCTGTCCACTGCCCCAGGGTTCCTGTCAGGCTCTGCCCTACCCCACTTGTACAGTGCCCTATAACAAGGGTGCTCTAGGGACCGAGACCCAGGCCTCCCCTTGCCACCACCACCACCCTGTGTCCCCCAATACCTCCCAGTCCATCTGCTCCCCCCCTTCCTCCTGCGGGAAGCTCTGCCTGGGACTCCACCCCCACAGCCCTGCGGGTGCCCGCCACTCCCCCACACTGGTGTCTTCTACTGGTTCTCCTCTGCCTTTGTGGAGTTCTTGGCCTGGCCGGAGCCCCATGAGGAAGGAGCCAGTTTTTGTGACCACACATCCCTGCTGGGTTGGTGAGTAGTTGGGGGGGGGTCCTGGGTACAGGAAGACCTGAGTTCAAATACTGGGCATCTGCAGAATGGGGTAGTAGGCTGACCCAGGACACCTAGTGAGAGTCAGTGAGATGAGGGTGTGCAGCCAGTGCTTCACGAGACCTCGTGCGAGGCCAGCGGTTAGCAGGCCTGATAAAGGCACACCATTCTTGGCGAAACAGAACCTCTGTGCACGATTTGTCCCAAAATGTTACATTCCCAGCAAGGCTGCTTCTCCTCTGCCGTGGGGCCAAGGGTGTCAGCGGGCCAACTCCCAACCACAGGTGCCCACTGGGCACACGCGCGTGTGAGTGTGCACACACATACACAAACGCCTGGCTTGGCCGCCTTGTTCTTCCCTGCCTCTGGGCCCCCACATCCTAACCCCCCATGATCCCATGCTGACTCCCACCCTCCCCATGGGGCTGCTGTCTACAGGGAGACCCACCCTCGGGGCTCCTAAATGGGCCATATCCACCAAGGAAGATGAGACAGAGGCTCGGAACAATTTGGAAAACATGGTTGAGCCGAGGGGAGAGTGCTTACATCACTTGTGTCCCTCTAGAGACGGCCTTCCATCCACAGCCCAGACCCTCCCTCCATCTGTGCCACCCTGTTTTTCATTTTTACATCACAAACACTCTCTGGCAACATCCCCAGGCCTAGAGACAACAAGAAGGAATGCATCCCCTTGGTCATCGACCCAGATAGGAAGCCCATGGGGTTTGCATGGGGACACACCTGGCCATAGCTCCAGTGCCTGGGTCCTGGGGACTAGGGAGCAGGGCTGCCCACCCAGCAGGGACATGGGTTCTGGACTGACCTCAGGGAGCCTCAGGAGAGGCAAGTGGCCTGTCCCACAGGGCAGGAGTGGGGTTTAGGTTGGGGGAGCAGGGCCACGTGGGTGTTGGGGCAGACTCCTGGGCGGCCGTAACCCGCTGTGTGGGCTGGTGGGACCCTGGTGTGGGAGTTCTCCCTGCTATGCTGTTTATCCCGAAGAAGCACACCCAGCCTTCTGGAAGGAGAAAGACGTCATCGTCAGTCCACAACTCTGAACCATCACGCTTTTGAATGCTAGTCAGCAGCATTAGGAACACTCACAAGGGACCACGGCAGCCCAATGTAAAGTACAGATGTGACAATCCCAGTCGAGTGGGGACAAGAGAGTCTGCACAAGTGTGTGGGGATGCGTTGGGAATGCCATGGGATGACCTTGGGGTCAGGGGTGACAGTGCTCAGCCAGGGATCTGGTCTTATCTAGAAAGGAGTTAGCCCAGCAGGTGGGCCTCATGTGGTGCCCTCTGGTCTCCCTGCAGGAGCCGGAGCCAGCAGGATGGACATCAGGATGTGCTGATCTCCTCTGAAGACAGGTAAGTGACCTGGATGCGGCCTGGGGACATCCCCTCACCTGGGACGGCAGAGTGTCCTAGAGGGTCTGCCCACTGTGGTTGACAGAGGGATGGACTGTGGCCCCAGCCTGTGTGCGCTTCTGGTCAGCCTCACCCTGAGTGGGCACAGCCCCTGGGCTGGACAGGGCTGGATGTGGGGGCCTCTCACTGCCCTACTTGGATTTATTGATGGCCTAAGTGTGGACAGCAGCCACCAGTTCGCTGTCTGGCTTGGTGGACAAGCCTGTGGTGGGGCCAACCGACCAGGCTGTTAGCTAGGGCTGATCTTCACCCGCCATGACTTGGACGCCTGCCACGGCAGTCTGCTGTTGGCCCAGCCCACCCAGCTCTGCTCTTGGCTCAGGGTGGTCCCTGCTGCCTGGGGGAGACAGGTGATGGGTCACACCTGGAGCACCCGGAGGAGGGCCCCGAGGCCACGTGGCTGGCTTTGTCTGAAGGGCCAGAGAGCAGATGTTCAGCTCTGCAGGCTGCATGGCCTCTGCTGTGCACAGCTGCGCCAGTCTGCCATCGTAGGGCGGAGGCAGCTGTGGACAGTGTGTAACCAAGCAGTCGTGATGCCCCTGTTCACAGCCATGGGTGCTGTGTGCTGGCCTGTTGCCTTGGGTGTTATCTATGTTTGTGGGTTCCTCGGTTATAGCTCCAGTGGAACTGAGGTGTGCTGCCTGGCAAGTGTAGCAGGGGCAGAGGCTGAGTAGTCCCTGTGTCCCACAGGACCCTCTGAATGGTGGGGAGGTATGCCCTGCTGGCACCCAAGGCTGTCAGAGTTGGCTGTGGTGGTCTCATGTTCAGAGTAGTGGTGGCTGATGAGAATGATCCCGGTCACTCTTGTTCCTCCAGTACAGGTCCCTAGTCCCGAGCCCGGCCATCTGCCCCTGCCCCACTGAGCATTGTCTCCATGGGAGGCTCGGCCAACCCAGCCCTGTGGATTCTGTGTGTCACGGAGTGTCCAGCGTAGAGGGCCTGGCCCAGCCAGTGCCATGCTCTCGTGGTGGCAAGAAGGCAGTGGCCACAGACCACAGGAGCCCCCAGGCCTCCCGACGCCTGAGTGTCCTGTGCTGAGGGCTGTAAGACAGAGGAGAGGGCTGGGGGGCTCAGCTCCTTCTTCTCTGTTCCCCAGGACCACAGGTGTGGAAAGCTGCTGGCCGTGCTGGTGGGAGTTGGGGGTCTGCTGCCGCCTGGCTGTGTAGGAGGACCAAGGTCTGGCCAAGCATCTCAGTGCCCAGGCTTTTGGGCCCCACGAGGGCTTCTGGATTGGGATGAAGAGGCTCAGGCCACGTCCAGGGCTCGCTGGGCCAGAGCACCCAGGCCTTGGGACGTGACATTGCTTGTGGCACAGGTGACATGTGGCAGGAGCCTGGCCCCCGTCTCCCTTAACTCTTGGTAGGCCACCGGGCCTCAGGTTGGCAGGCCAGCCGGACGCCAGATGACAGCCCTGGTGACGACCTGCAGGAGTCGTCCGCCACCCTCACCCCGTGGCCCTGGTTGCTTGCTCTCTTCCTCTCCCTGTTTTTCCCTCCCTGTCTCCTGCTCCTAGTCTTCTCCTTGTTTGTCTCTGGCCCTCTCTCTGCCTCTCTCTCCTCTCGCTGTCTCCTGTCTCTGTCCTGCCCTTTTCTAGTGTGGTGATAGATTATGCCTGTCTGCCATGGTGACTGAATATTCGTGTCTGCCGTGGGCACTGGATGGATGGTGGCATTTGTGCCATCTCTGCTCTGAGCTGGGACAGTTTCTTAGACTGGGATGCAGAACCTGGGCCCTGGCTCAGGGCTCCTTGCTCTGCCCTGCCCTGGGGTGAGGCCCTGCCCCCATCAAGAGGGAGATGGGGTGGGGGCCTCCAGACGAAGTTGGGACAGGGGCTGATGGCAAGCACCCATGTGTCCTCCATACTCGCCTCCAGCCGTTTAGCACTTGCTCACTGAGCTCCATGCTGGACACTGGGCGTTGTGACCACAGTAGGCCCAGCCCTGCTCTGGGGGAGCCCTCAGCCTGGATGAGGAGACGGCAGCAGAGAAAGGAGTGACCAGCTGCGGAACTGCAAGATGGTGATGAACAGCAGGCCCTCCTGAGAGCGGGGAGCTGGAAGGTGGTGTTGGGGTGACGCTGATGCCTGGCCCAGGGGACGTGGATGCCCTTCACTACAGCCATGCTGGCACTGACATCACCACTTGGGAAGCCCCCGGGCTGGCCTTGCCCCTCGGCAGTCTGTGGCCTTTGCTGCTGAGCACGGCTGCCCTTCTGTGACAGCCGGCTCCAGGCAGGGTTTCTTGGGTTTTGCTGTGTTTCTCAGCCATTGGTGTAGCCTTCACGCATTGAACTGTGAGCTCTCGCCCTGTCTGTCTGCTGCAGGTTCTTTTCAGCTTTTGAATTTTTGTTTCTGATGGTTTTCACGTTCAGAAATCTTCCATATTTTGTGGTGAAATCTGTTGAATTTTCTTCCTTTTAGTTGTTCCATTGCTCTGTGCATTGTCTGCCCTAGCACATAGCTGGATGAATGCAGGTTGATCTTTTCCTGTAGGTGTTTCTAGTTAGGGTCTACACCCAAGGCTCCATCCATCTAGAGTTTATTTTGACATAAATATAAGGTGATGTTGTATCTTTGTTGATTCGGTTGTACTTGAACTGTTTCTTGATGAATATTTTCTGTCACCAGAAGTCAGCAATGTTACAGCACGTGTCCGCAGGTTGTGGGGCTCCTGGTGGTGGCGGCCCTTGGCCAGCGCGCCCTGCCTTGTAAGAAAGATCAGGTCGGAGCCTCCCCTTGATCAGCCTTTGTTCTTAAGAGTCGTGGTCACTCTGCAGGTGCGGGTTGGATCCCCTCCTTGGAGCCCTTCCTCTGAGGACCTCTTTGGACTCGCCGAGGCACATGCTGTTCCGAGTGGCCCTCCCTGCTGGGTTAGTGGCCTGTGCAGGTCCCCGCACGTCCTGCTCTGGTCTCCCTGTCACTCGGGACTCTCGCAGCCCTGCTGAGCACCCTCAATTACTGAGAACAGGTCCCCGCTGTGGTGGGCCCTCCTCAGAAGACCCCAGAGTGACCTGGGCCCCTTGCGGGCCTTGGGCCTTCAAGTGCCGTGTGCTGCCTGTGGCTGGAGACAGCTGCCATGCCGCCTGCAGAGGGCGTGGGTCTCCTGATGTTAGTGTTGGTGACTTTCACAGGTGGGTGTCCCTGTCATGCTGTGGGGGGGTGAGCCAGCCTCTTCCACATGACCCCAGGTGGAGGCACCACCAGGCCCGGCGCTCACACTGTCCTGTTTGTGTCTCAGCCTCGGGGGCTGGGAGGTGAGTCCTGGCCGGCCAGTCTGCCTGCCGCCAGGATCTTGCCGTGTGGCTGGAGAGCCTGGTGCAGGCTAGCCGGCCACCCTCTTGCCTGGGGGCTGCTCTCAGCCAGGGGTCCAGGGGCCTCTGTGATTGGACTTGTGGGTCATTGCCCAGGTGGGCTCAACATCAGAAGCGGGGGCCAAGACCTCGGTCCTCAGGGAAGCCCCAAGCCACTCCCCACCCCTGGAGCCCGTGGTTCTCGGTGGGGCAGGAGGAGGAACACTCTACGCGGCAAGACCAGTTCCGAGCCGCACAAAAGGCTCCACGTTGTGGTGTTCTGTGTCGGCCACCAGAGATACAGCGTGAGCTGTGCCATCCCTTGCTCGGGGTGATTCATGGCTGGTGGCATGGCCAGTACTGTGGGGCCAGCCTGGTGAAGCCTACGTCACCCAGGCCACCAGGTGAGATGGTGCCGCACCAGCCGTGCTCTGCCCGCAGGTTCTCCTGGGCCATCTCTGCAGGCCCACAGTGGCTATTTGTGTGCTGACCCAGCCCCTGGCTCCCAGCCTTGTCACTCTCCTCTCTGGGCATCCCTGCCTCCAACATGCCTCATGTGGCTGTCCCTAGGACCTCTCACTGTCACTCGGCCATAGTCAGTTTCAGCCTGTACCTTGGACTTGTTCTGCTTTGTTCCCCGGCCTGGGCTGCCCTCTGGGGAGCTGCCTGTGAGGCCCCTAGACAGTCATGCTGCTGAGGGGTCTCCCTTCCCCCAGGCCCTGGGCATGCCCTGTCCCAGCATGACCTTTAGCCCTGGGAGGTAGGTCTTGTGCAGCAAGGACGCCCCCCTGCAGCTCTGATGTGCAGGGGCTGAGGCCCTGGCTGGTCTTGCCACAGGGCAGCTGCCCAGCGTGGGGGAGGGGAGAGGGAGGTACCCGCCCCCACAGTGCATCTTGCCGGGTTGACTTTTGCAGTCGATGAGTTTGGTATTTCAAATATGCCTTTAGTTAAACTTTTTCTTTTTAAAATATTTTCAGTCTCCGTGAAATCCTAATTAGGCCAGTCTTCGTCTGAATGTACTTGCCGCTCTCTGCGTTTTGCAGATAATGAGGCTGCGGAGCGCCTGCCAGCCCCACGTCCTCCTCCCAGGGCTTTGGCTCTGTGCTCTGGAGAGAGCTGCCGCTGCCCCGCGGCCATTCCTGGCCCATGGGATCTGGACCACAGAGCCTGGGAGGGCGCCGAGCACACAGATGGGGAAACTAAGGCCTGGGCCACTGAGGAATCTGGGGTGGCACAGGTGGAGGGTCTCAGCCCCAGGCAAGGCCCACCCCTCTCAAAGCAGCGTCTCCCTTCACAGAGAATCCACCGCGCATCACCCCAGAGCCCTCGCCCCAGGCATGGGTCAAGGCCCACCCCTCTCAAAGCAGCGTCTCCCTTCACAGAGAATCCACCCCGCATCACCCCAGAGCCCTCGCCCCAGGCGTGGGTCAAGGCCACAGCCTGGTGTTGGTACAGAGCTGCCTCCTGGAACTGGCCAGGCCAGCCTCCCATGGTGCGCCCAAGGGCTGAGAGTGAGGGAGAGGCCATGAGACCAGCCCGCAGATATCAAGTGACCACAGCACTGAGTCCCCCGTTTTGCCTTTTTAAAAATTTTATAAAGCAGTATGTGCTTGTTTATGGAAACTGTGGAAAATAGAAAGAAGAAGGAAAAAGAAATCCCGCCTATCACACCGTACAAGCCAGCAGGTCTGTCCCTCCATGCTCCTGGGAGCTGGGCCCTGTGTGGGCAGCAAAAAGCGCGTGGGGCTGGGACCCCTGCCTTACCAGCGCCTCCCGTGTTAATGTCTGGATGGTTCGTCAACGCGACCCCCCTCCTGCCTGTGCCACCCGCTGTGCCCCTGCCTTTCCTCTCCTCTGACCACCTGGCCCTTGCCCCTCGGGCCTCTGCACATTATGGACACACTCAGGCCTGGTCCCGCTGTCCCTGGGGCCTGTGTCCTGCTGCAGCTGAGGGCCGGGGAAGTGCATCCCATTGTGGATGTTCGGGCTGTCTGCAGCTCTTCTCCCCTGTCAGGGCCGCTGCAGGAAACACCTCATGCCCAGAGCTGTTTTTCTGTATTTAAACAACTTAGGCTTGACCTGGAGGCCCAGGCAGGGCCGGGGGGTGTGCTGGGGGCAGAGTCGGGGCAGGATTATCAGACTTGAGCAAAGCCTGGGAGAGTGGCCTTGGGGCATGCCCACGACAGCCCCTCTCCCGAGAAATAGTCAGCCCACCATCTTCAGACAGCCCACCCCGGGACCTGCACAGGAGACAGACCCCCACTGGGCAGGCGGACAGTCCAGGGAGCCACACCTCCGGGGAGGGCCACCCACCCATTCCCTCATGTGTGGAAGGGGAGCCCAGGTGCCACAGCAGGTGTGTACGAGGTGACACCTGTCCCTGTGGCGATGTGCCCTGCAGGTCCCCCATCCTCAGCTCCCCTCATCCTGATCCCCTTGGGGGTTGGAGACCTGATGTGGCCAGCACTCCCACGGACAATCTCCTCTGTGGTCAGTCAGGACCCCAGGGAGGGTGCGCTTGGGCCCTGAGAGTCAAAGCGAGTCTCCTCTGCACACAGCCCGAGGCCCAGGGCTCCAGCACCGCAGCACACGCCCCCCCATGCTGTTTGGAGGCTCTGCTGAGGGTGTCAGCCCTTTGGAGCATGCCATGGGCCACCCAGTCTGCCCACCATGGTGAAGGTGGTGTCCTGGGGACCCTGTCCAGGAGGCCTGACAGGCCGAAGGGAAAGCAAAGGTGGGGAGGGGAGAGGCAGGGGTGTTAGGGGTTCGGGGACAGGCCTGCAGGGGGCGGGAGGCCCCAGAGCCCAGCCCAGGCCCCGGGGTAGGAGTGAGGAGGATGCTGGGACAGTGTGTTCTGAGCTCCCTGGCCACATGCCCAGCCTCCTGAG